TAATGAATTTTCTGTTGAATTTTGAGGTACTATCATTTACATTATCGGATTGGAAGTCGTCACGCACCGTGCTCCAACCAACGCACAATCATCAGCATTTACTAATCTCAGGAAATGAGTCTTCAGCTGGCTTGGTCTACATGTATCATATTGCATCACAGTTGCTCATTCGCACATTCGCTGGTCTGCCATTTTATTTTCCTTGTAAAGTTAAGTTTGCTGATCAGAAGGGCGTTAGGGTGACAATTGTACAGTAGTAAGGAGCATGCCAAATGCCAAGAGGATTTTTTGTATGGTCAAAGGTACCTTTGGAAAATATTATTGAGGAGTGAGACATTTTCATCGGTCATCTGGAAAAAAAATGCAGGATGTCATTTTTATTTCAGTGGACATTTTGCACTAAAAAGTTGCTAACTGCTATTCGTTCATGGATTGCAAAAGTATTTTCTAGCATTAAGTTTACTTTTCAAGCAGCCTTCAAAATAAGAAACTGTGAAATACCCTTTTCCATGAAGTACAGCTGTTGACAGAAGTATGAAATAGCTTTTGAAATTGTCGTTGCGAAGTTTTATTTGAATTATTCGTGAGGTTGATCTTCCGGTATTTAAGTATATTATTATGAATTCAGGTCATGAAGAACGAGTCACTTCAATTTCTGTAAGCTGTAATGGACAGTTTTTCGTAACAACTTCAGTGGATTGCACTGTCAGGATATGGAATTTTTTACAGGTTTGTCACATTCTGTTTCTTGTAGCGTAATGTTTTGGGCAAAGACGAAGGTCAAATTCGCCATCCTTTCTGTCATTTTTTTCCTTAAAAGACCAGAGGGAAAATGCATAAAAATGTGTTCTAAAGTTAACAAACTAACACTTCTTTAAAACTACAAGAACTGCTTTCGCGCATTTCCTTGTTACACACTAGTCTCCGGCCACATCTCATATTAACTAATACAGAGTGAAGCAGTTCACGTGTTGAAGCCACATCGAGGAAGAGTCGTATGCTCTCTGGTAAGCTCTGATTGCAACTACGTTATCACTGGTGGCACCGATTCTTGCGCCAATGTTAGTGTTTTTGAATTATGCGTGCTATTCCATTCAATGTTACCAAAACTCACACCGAACTCAGGAGTAGTAAAATTCTTGGACAAAGAGACTGAAACGAACTGAGCCCGAAAAGCGACCAATTAAGCTAGCAAAAGCAAAATTTAAGCGTGGGATGTCCAAATTAGCATGCTGGTGTTGTAATGCACTGAATATTAAAAATACGACGAACAAGAGTTTAGGGACTGACTCAGTTCATAAATGCCAGCGTTGGTGGAAGATATATCAAAACTATGTAGGTGCAAAACAT